TCTTCTCCGCCGCCTCGCGCAGCACGAGCGAGTCCACCAGGAAGGAGCGCGGCATGGCCCCAGTGCCTGGTCGCCCGGCCGCCAGCCCGCTCTCTGCGCCTTGATGACCTTGGGGCTCTCCACGCGCTTCCACGGGCGGCGGCCGCGTGCAGCTGCTTCTTCCCGGGAGGCTGAAGGCGCCGCCGAAGCCGAGGCTGAAGCCGCCTCTGCAGCAGCAGCGGGCGCCGCCCGGAGAGCGCGGGGTGCTGGCCAGCGCTAGTGGTGCTGAAAGGCGCCTGCGGCCCCGCTTAAATAGGACTATTGCCATGTGATGGGCTACGCCAGGAGCGGCCCGGGCCTCTCAATAGGGTTTTTGTGCCTTTTCTCTTGGCATTCACTCTGCACGCTTCCTCATTATTTCACTTGTTAACTAAATGAACTGCATAATGTACTCTATTCTTGTCAACCCCACCCACGCCGTAACGGGCGCCCTTGCCCCCTCCTCTCCCTTTTGCAGGTTTATTTTCTCATTCTCCTGAGATTTAATATTCTTTTCTTTCTCTTTATTCTTTACTCCTCTCTGGCTTTGTATTAGCGATCGGCCCTTTTATCTTACCGGTTTTGCACCCCCCGCTGCCTTGCTTCCACAGATTTCCATGGGTGCGCACCCCCATCTTCTCCCAGCCCTTGGTCTCAGTCCCCTTCCTTATCTCATCTCACCCTGTCCCCCAAGACCATGCTGCCTCCAGTCAGTGCACGCAGTTTATCGCTGCGCGCCCCGAGGGCATCCTTACAACAGGCCTCCGATTTCCACCTGTGGAATCTCTTTCCTTCTCCCTGAGTCTGGACGCAAGAATACCGGGGCTCCTCGCAGGGGGAGGTTCCGCTGGGGAGAAAGGACAAGCGCCCGGTACTCCTCACGCAGCATTAGCCCCATCGCTGTCTCTCTTTTCTCTGAGCTTCTCAACTAGCCTTAACTTTGGTGCGTCTAGAACGCCCAGCCTTTGTTCGGTAGAGGCTCGTCCGCCAGCCCTTTCGTCGGGGCCGTGGATGTAGAGAGGAAATCAGCTTCTGAGAGTCATGGCCAGAAACAAGGAGACAAGGGATGGGAAATGAGAGCCTAAACCGCGAAGATGGAGATCTCGCAGCAACCCCCCGCCCCCGGCCGTGGCGAGTGTAGACTCTGCACTGGTGCCCTTTCCACTGGTGCGTACTCCGTAGACTCGCGGGTGCGCTGGGAAACCATGGCCTTCCCGAAGTTCGCCCCTGGCAGCGGTGAGGGGCAGTTGTAGTCAGCGCCCGCTGCCCTGGCCCACCCCCACCGAGCTCCCCTCTCCCCCAGACCTGCTCCCGCCGCGTCACTCTCCTTTCTGGTCACACAATGGTTAAACAACTTCAGACGCTTAGCGCTGTGTACACAGCTTCAGCTTTTTAAATCATCAGAGGGCTCCAAGCTTTGAGCAGGAGCCTTTTCCATACAATGGGAAATTAGCATAAATATTTCGAATTTACAGCCCGGGACTTTGCACGGAAGACGTTTACTTTCGATTTTATTGGAACCAAGTCGCCGCAATCACCTGCTCCCTGAATAGAATTGTGAGAAATGGAGAGGGCGTCCGGGCGAGGGCAGGAGATTGCCCCAAACCAAGGCGTGCACATGGATTCTCATCATTGATGAAATCTTTGCAATAACCGCAGCAAATTATAACTGATTAAAAAGCAAAGAGAATTTGCGAGACAC